ACATGATTATGGCTCCCAAATCCGCCCAATCATGGTAAAAGTACAGAGATTCCAAGCCTCGCAGGCCGTTTGTTTTGCAAAAGAAGAAAAGAACCAGCTTCAAAAGCTGGCCAAAGAAAGAATCTAGCAGTCGCCCTCGTTGAAGGGAGCCAGGGTAATAAGCTGGTTGTTGTTGGTCAAGGGACGACCCGCGGTCGCGACGCGGAGAACCGAGTCGGCCGAGTTGCGGTTGTAGAAGAAGCGCGAGTACGTGTTCTGGTTGACGCCGTCGTCGCCGGAGGCGGTGCAGTTGAGCGGGACGCCGACGAGGAGGGACTGGCCGTTTGTGGCGCAGACGAAGGGCGCGAGCTTGCGGACCAGGGTCTGGCGCGGGGTGAAGCCGTTGACGGGGCGGTTGTCGTCTGCGTAGGGGGCCGGGACGGCGACGAGCTCGCCGTTGGTCTGGAAGAGTTGGCCGGTGGAGAGGTTCAGGTCGAAGAGGGCCGCTGTGGTGCCGGCTGGCTTGATTGTGAAGCGGTTTGAGCCGAGGGCGACGACGGAGCCGGGCGTGGACCCGGTTGCGACCTTGAGGCAGAGGTTGCGGGCGATGACGTCTGTTGAGGTCGGGGTTGCGGAGGAGGAGGTTGAGGAGGAAGTTGTCGTTGTTAGGGTGCTTGTGACGAAGGTGCTGCTTGCGCTGGAGGAGGCAGAGGCAGAGGCGGAGGAGGCTGTGCTAGAGATGTCTGAGGTGGAGGTGCTGCTGGCGGAGGCAGAGGTTGAAGAGGACTCATCTGCGGTGGAGGTGGCTGACGAAGAGGTCTCCGAGGCGGAAGTGGAAGAGCTCACGTCCCCGGTCGTGGTCGAGGCCTCGGTGGAGGTGGAGCTGATGATGCTGATGGTGACGGTGGGCTCATCGGTGAAGATGGTGCTGTTGGGGAAGAAGGTAGGGCTAACAGAAGACGTCAGGGAGGTGATGGTCGAGGACTCAATGGCGGTCGAGTTCGGGAAGAGGGTCGACGTGGGGAACAGGGTCGATGTCTCGGTGCCCGAGGTGATCACAGTCAGAGTAGCGTTGGGGGCCAAGGTAGAGGAGGAAAGGGCCGATGGTTCGGTGGAAGAGACGTTGGGGAAGAAGGTCGAGGTGGACGTCAGAGTTGTGGAGGGCTCCGAGATGGTCAGGGTGGTGGTGTTGGGGAAGAGAGTGGAGGAGGGGAAGACCGTGGAGGACTCGGAGGAGGACTCGGTGGAGGTGACGTTGGGGAAGAGAGTAGAAGTAGGGAAGGCGGAAGACGACTCGGTGGAAGTCACATTAGGGAAGAAGCTAGAGATAGAGATGGAAGTGAAGGTGGAAGAAGACTCGGTGACGGTGGTGGCCGTGGTGGTGTTGGGGAACAGAGTCGACGAAGGGAAGGCAGAGGACTCGCTACCAGAGGTGAGAGTCGTGCTGTTGGGGAAGAAGGTGGGCGAGACGGAGGCGGTCTCGGAGGTGGTCGAGTTCGGGAAGAGCGTGGTGGTAGGGAAGACGGTCGAGGTCTCGCTGCCAGAGGTGATTGTGGTGTTGGGGAAGCCACTGCTGGTAGGGAAGACGGTGCTCGACTCGCTCTCTACGGAGGACGTGGTCGTGTTGGGGAACACGGTGGTGGAGGCGAAGCTCGACGTGATGGTAGTCGACTCGGACGTGATGGTGGTGTTGGGGAAGAAGGTCGAGGTGATGGAAGACTCGCTGGGTACCGAGCTGGATCCGGTAGAAGTGATGTTGGGGAAAATAGTAGAAGTAAAGGTGGAAGAAGTCTCGGAAATAGTAGAGATAATGGTAGAGTTGGGGAAGAAAGAGGAAGAGGGAGCGGAAGAGCTAGCCTCGGTGCTGGTGCTGTCAAAGATGGTGGAAGCAGTGGTGGACGAGGGTCCAATGGTAATAGTAGTGTTGAAAATAGGGGGCAGCGAGGTGGTGCGGGTAACGAAGGTGGTGAAGGTAGCGTTGTTAAAGAAAGTACCAGTCACAGAGGTAACCTCCTCAACTACTTCCGTAGACGTGCTGCCGACGGAGGTTGTGGCCGTGACCGCCTCCAAGGCCGTGGACGTGGCGAGGACGGTGGTGACGGCGGTCGAGGTCGTTGTGGTCGTAGAGAGAGCCGTGGAGCCAGGGGATCCGCTGCCGGAAACGGTGACGGTCACGATGGAGGTGGACAGGATCGTGGCCGGGACCGAGACGGTCGCCGTGGCGGTGGCGACGGCCGAGGTCACCGTGTTGGGCGTGACGCCGAGGCACGAGCAGGCCGAGGCGTAGCGGGCGACGGAGCTGCAGGCGGAAGCGTAGGCCGGGAAGGTGTTTGCGGAGATGGCGGTCGTGGCGGCCTGACGCTTCTTGAGCGCGATGGTCTCGAAGATGGTCTGGGTCTCGGTGGCGACGGTGGTGATCTCGGTGGTGCCAAAGGTGAGGGTCCGGGTAGAGGAGACGACAATGGTGGTGGGAACGATGACGACCTCAGTGGCGACGGTCGTGGTCTGGGTGACGCCGACGAGGGAAGTAGCCGTGGAGGAGGCCAACTCGGTCTCGACGACGAGGCTGGTCTCAACGGGACCGGCGCCGCCGCCGGAAGTGAGAGTGACCGTGGAGGTGAAGACTCCGCTGGTCGGGACAGTCACGGTTGTGGTGGTCGTCCTGGAAAGATGTTAGTCCTTCTGGAAAATGGGTAATGGCGGAGATGAGAGGGCTCGTGATAGAGATACTTACGTGGCACCGGGGTAGACCGTCACCTGCAGATACCGAGAGCAGTCGGCAGTACCACTTCTGGTGGTGAAGGCACTGGCAGCAATGGCTACACGTGGGGGTGTTAGTCAGTTTACGTGGTCCTCCTGGTGTAGATCGCCCTCCAGGGTCGAGGTAGGGGTGAAGGATCACTCACCTCTCAGGCAGTTGTCCCTGTTACACTGAGCAGCGGCGAACCCAAAGAGGGTGGCCAACACGGCAGAGGTGGAAGGCTTCATGACTGCTGTTAGTAACTGGACCTCTTAAAGACTGGTGACCCTTGAACTTCGAAAAGAGCAAAGAGTGATTGTCTGGAACTTGTCGATGGGAAGAGATGCAGGAGATGACTGCGCTGGTGTGGAGATGGGGATAATTCCAGACAACCGGGCCTGGAAACCTCCAAGTCTTATACACCTAGAGGCATCTCGAGAGAGGCGCCGCCAAGAGCATCAAATCGAGAGGCTCGGCATAGGAAAAAGCACTTCCCACGGCGACTTCCAGAGAAACCAACGCAGTGTACCAAGGGATGGTGGGGTTGAGAGAGCCAACAATCGGCCACCAATATCGCGCCTTTTCTGGGTCTTAGACTTCTTCTTCCCTTGGTTCATCTCGCGATTGCCTCAGCGATAGTGCTGGCTATGCGGTTCCTCCATCATAGACTCGCGACTTGCAGGTCATACGCAGTTTGTTGCTTGCTTTGCCCATCGAGACATAAGCAATCTGAAAATTAGGTAGGTAGTCCGCATCCCTGCCTGGCCATGTCCGTTGGAGACGAGACCAAGCTTGCGGACACTAGCGAAAGTGGCTTGACTAGCATCAGCGTCGTGCCTAGTGGTGTGCTTGCTACGCGGGCGGGATAAATAGGTAGATCGCCGCTACGTGGTTCGCAGAAACCCGTCTCCTCAGCCTCGGAACAGCTCCGGGGGTCCATCACCTGGGTCTGGTAGGGCTCGTACACATGCAAAAAGGTAGATAAGCTTGCGTGATGAGAGGATGTTCCCTAGGATCCGTGGGATCCCTGTGGGAAACCTCACTAGCCACTTGGCTCTAATGGGTGGTGCGCGTCAGATTAACTGCGCTGCAAGGAACCCGTCCGGCTTGCTGCAAGGGCCAAATTATTTGTCTGTCCGAGATGCAGACATCGGACCATGACACACCATTGGTAGGCCCTTGGCAAGGGAAGCTCAAGAGCCGTGCAAGAAAGGGAGAGAGATTAAGAGTGTGAAAGAACCCCCTCCCCCTCGTGGCACCCCAGCCGCGGGGGCACACGCACGACACGTTGAAAACTAAGCAGGTTTTGTGCGATTGGGCCTTGGAGGGGCGGAACTTGGGCTTAGGAAGCCGAGAAAAGAAACAATTTTCTAGTCTAGAAGACCTGCGCTGCTGCAGGTCCCAATGGAATTTGCGGAAAAGAAAGCGTGCTTTCGCGCGATAGAGTGGGCTATGTGAATCGACTAAGAGCGACGCTTCCTGCACGTGCGAGTCACTTTTTGATGAAGGTCTTCAGAAAGCCCTGCATCAAGATGCAAACGAGAAACAAGCGCGCCACGGCTGTGAATCCGGATGATTTTTTTTTCGTCCCATCTTTTGGTTGAGCAGAAGCTGAAGTCAAGTTGTCAAAATCGTGAGACCGCATGGGGAAAATTGGCTCGGCTTGTCGTCTCCCTGCGAGATTTGTGTCAGACTCACAGAGCCTCAAGAACGAGCATTTCTTTCGTGCCGGATGAACCCAGATTTACGGTAAATGACGTGCCAGCCGATGCGCCGCTCATTGCTAACCCTGTATCTAAACGAATGAGACGGGCTCCGGGGTACCGAGAGTGTGGGCTGTGGAGATGGAAATGCCTTGTTTCCCCAGTTTCACATACCGCCGATCGACCGACCGCAATTTGGTTCCTTTGCCAAGGCCGTTTCGAATCCTTTACATCAAAGTTGATGTTGTCGTTGTGATTTTCTGGGTGAACAATGGCTTCAAAATCGAGTACCGTCCCAGCACCTACTGATTCGACACAGGTCGCATCTTACTCAGGTCTGGAACCATCACTACCTTTCAGCTCGTGGAGGCCTTGTCTTGCACAAGTGCTCTAAATAACAACACGAGGGATGGCTCCATTTCATCATCGCCGTGGATCCGCGCGAGACATTGTATGGGTATTGCGCACAGGCTAAACCGCGAACGTGCCGGAGGTCTCACCCGCATCCCGGTGGGAGTCAAGATCCGCTGCCCGCCAGATGCGCGCCCATATCCACATTCTTCCTGCGATAGACTCCCAAAGTGCGAAAGCTTGTGTGAGATGTGAGAGTCAAGGTGACAACTCGGCTTCTGGCACAACGCTTGGCAGATGAATATCGCCGCGCGCACCGAGACGATGGGTCCAGTATACGAAAGCTGAGGAACATGGCATCCGATTTCGCGATGATCTGGGCCCATGTCGGCCTTGAGGTTATTTGGCGGGTACGTCGATTCATCTCCCATCGTCCTCTTTAGGGAAAATTCCGATGCCCTGGCTGGCTGACGGGGAAAAGGCTGCAGCTCAACAACTCATACGTTTGCCAGTCAAGTGAGTCGATCATTTTCCGGAAGCTATAGGACTGTGTTTGCGCGAGCTTCCATCGTGGTCGCCTGACCTGATCCCTCGGAAAAGCCGCTGACAAGCTCGCTTCCAACAGGCAAGCAGCCACTGGTATCATCGGGCCAACATCTCAGAGATCTGCAATATTCCCAATTTAACTCAACGGTCTTAGATCTGTAACGGCGCCATTAGTCGGCGAGCAGCTGAGAGAGAGGATCCAGTCGCCCTATGTGCAACTGTGCGAGGTGGTGCTGTGAAGGGAGGAGATGTCTTTGGTGACGCGATACAACTGCCGCATTCCACGGGACCTTTTGCCGTCTCCCCACTAACTTTAGCGAGAGAGTCAAGGGTCTTATTCCGGTTCGACATCATCCGAGAAGTTGTTTCCGTGCTGCTCACTGTCGACATTGAAACAGAGGATCGATTGTGGGAGGATGTCACGAAGCCAGATATGGCCATGAAAGTGTCAAAAGTACATCCCTTGCTATCGTCATGAAGCGCAACTTCAGCAGCGACTCCAATGAACCTGACAACGAATCCCACAGTGACCAGGGAAAGTCCCAGTGTCATCATTGACTCAAATTGGGCCCACCAAATAGAGGGGTAATATTCTGCGACACTGTCTGGAATGTTGGAGTTTATCGAGTCTCGGAATATGCAAGCAGTTCAAGATCTAAGGCAGGGAATTACGAGCCTGAAGCTATCTATCTAGAAGATGGATGAGTTTGCGAGTCCTGAAGCCGCCCCTGTTGCCCATGGGTCAGAGCTATTGCTCAAAGAGTTGGACACCCAAAGATGGCCTACGTTGTTGATGACCAGATTCAAAGCATTTTTCAGGCCTCTCTTAAGGAGTAAATACCCAAATATCAATATGTGGAATTTGAAACATGCGAAGCTAAAAGTTTTCAATTATCGCTACGCATGGAGTCTACATGTATATCATCCATATTGCACTCTAGGCGTCTACGTGTGAAGTTGCCTCAACACCCTCGTTACCCCAATGCTTTTACTCTAGCTGTCTAAATGCGTGCAATCAGACACCCTCCCAGAAAAACGTCTCGGGCAAGTTGAAAGTGGCTCGTAGGATCTCGTCCTGCGGCTTCGAGCTTGAAGCAATGATGACAACATAGTCTCCAGCTTCGGCAATCCACTTGGATCTCTCCTGCGACCAGTACGAAAGCGAGTACTTATCGAGCACGACCTCAACCGTCTTCGTCTCATTAACAGCGAGGAAAGGTTTGGAAAACGCCTTGAGCTCTCGGATAGGTCTCAATAGCGTACTGTCCGGGTCGTGGACGTAAACCTGGACAACCTCCGCCCCGTCGTAAGGACCAGTATTTTTTACGTCAACGAGGACCTTCATCTTGTGATCTTCCGTCGGCTCAAACGTCTTTGGGACCTCAAGCTTCGAGTACTCGAAAGTTGAGTAGGACAGGCCTTGGCCGAAGTAGAAGAGCGGATCTCTGTCAACTGATTCGTAGTAGCGGTGGCCGATGAAGACCCCCTCGCCGTACACGATGTCGTAGTCGGACTTTGAGAATGAGAGGTATGCGGGGGTATGCTTGATGGACACGGGGAACGTCTGAGATAAGCGGCCGGAGGGATTAGCTTTGCCGAAGAGTATGTCAGCGAGGCCGTGGCCTGTCTCCTGGCCGCCGAACCAAGCGTGGACCAAGGTAGCTGCTTTCGATTCCCACGGCATCTCGATTGGACAGCCGGACTGAGTTACAATCACCTGTGATGATGTGTTAGTCTCGGGACATGTGTCATTCGGGGTTGCTAGCTTGTATTTGGCCAAGAAACATGCGAAGCCACTCACAGCGTTTGGATTGGCTTGCAGCACGGCTTCAATCAAATCATCCACGCGACCTGGCAGCTCTAGATGCTTGCGGTCGGCCCCTTCGTACTCAAAATCTGACGATAGTCCAGTCACAACGATAGGGACATCAACTTTCTTGGCCAAATCGGCAGCTTCTTTGATGGCGACTTCCTCGTCAATGAGCTCAAATCCACCAACGCGTCCTGCAAGAGTCAAAGCGGTGCCAACGCCTCCTGAAAGGTCTTCGTTAACTTGAACAACTTCAAGCTCGAGAGTTCGGCCCTCAACCACATCCGTGTTGCAGAACTTCTCCATGGAAAGTCTGTTGAAGCAAGGCGTAGGCCCCGTTTTCGGCGGCTGGTCCGTCCATAAATCAATGAGATCTTTCCCGTCTACTCTGAGTTTGCCTTTACCCGATGTACTGAAGCCGAATTTGAAGGGGCCTGTCACGGAAGGCGTGTACGTAGCCCGGGCTCTGACATAGAACTTCTTCGGAAGCGACGCGTGGAAACTTTCTGGCACATCTATAAGCTCTTTCTGGGCGTGGGCCGTCACGAGTACTTTTGCGTTGGGGTCATCGTCCGGATTCTCCTCAAAGATCTTAACTGACCACCCAAAGCCTTTGTGCTGTGATTGCTGAGGTGCTAAATTCTTCAGCAGTGGACTGAATCTGAAGGCTGTGACTGCGGTTAATAATACTTTCAAGTAGATTGAGTGAAATCTTACAATGGCAACCAAGGGCATATGAGACGTTTTCCTTCCCGACTGCCTCGACGATGGCATCGTAGGGAGTTACGGAGTAGTAAGGTTCAACCTCCGCACTGCCACCCCCGCTTAGAGCAGGGTTCTTGACGTGATCGCCAATCAACCCAATTGTCTTCCCTTCTGGTTTCGTGATGGGAAGCACCTTGCGATCATTCTTTAGCAAGACGATGCTTTCAGCGACCAGTTGACGGATCAGAGCCTGCTGCTCGGGTGTATTCGACGCCGCAAAATAGCCAGCCGGCTTCGTATCCTTCACTTTATTGACCAGATTCAGAACATTCCGAACAGCCTCGTCAACCGTCGTACGCGCGACTTTGCGGCTGTTGACAGCTAGGCTTAAACACTTGCCTCTCCATTGTGTGGGCCCAGGCATCTCCAGATCCAGTCCGGCATTGATAGCTTCAGAGGTGCTATAAGTACCAAACCAGTCGCTCATTACGAGTCCCTTGAAGCCCCATTCATCTCGAAGGACCTGTTTCAGAAGTAATGGGTCTTCGCTAATATGAGTCCCGTTGATCTTGTTGTAGGAGGTCATAAAGGTCCAGGGGTCTGAGTCCCGCATGACAAGTTGGAACGGCATGAGATGAATCTCTCTCAGGGTCCGCTGTGTCATGCAGACATTGTCTTCGATCGAATTGTCCGACTGATCGTGCGCGGCATAATGCTTGACACTGGTTGCAACACCTCGTTCTTGCACGCCGTTGATGTAGGCTGCACCGAGGATGCCGCTTAGAAATGGATCTTCGGCGAACGCCTCGAATCCTCGTCCGAATAATGGTGAACGTTGAAGACAGATGGTGGGTGCCAGCAACACGTGCACTCCTCTGGCTCTTGCCTCCTCTCCAAGGAGATTGCCGACCTTGTGCAATAATTCGGTATTGAAAGTTGCGCCCATACCGGTGGCGGAAGGCAGCATGGGGCTCGGGTTCTGTAAAAGAATTGAATACACTTATCAGTATCGGAGCCAAAGAATGGCCAAACTTGAAGGCTTCTTACTACCCAGAGCGATCAAGGACTTGAACTTACACGAGCAAAAGAACGACGTCCTCGAATACCATGAGGGCCGTCTGAGGTCTGCGCCGGAATTCAGTAAGATGTACTTGTTGTCTCATCATTAGATAGAGCGTCGACTTACAATGAGATCTGGGACTTGACGATGAGATAGACCGGTGGTTCGGAAGGATCCCTGTCCAGCAAGCAGTTCGATCTTCTCGTCCCAGGTAAGTTGCTTGATCAACGCCTCGACGTCGAGGGGGGTGAATACAGCCGCCATCTTGACGATACTGATGATCCCTTGATCTGACGAAGCTTAAGTGATTGAGATTAGTGAGCTTGGAAAGCCCGGTGATCACGGACAACAGTCAAACTTCAAGTGGCCTTCCGGTCATTGTTATGCGGTGTCATCTGGGGATTCGGTCGGCACAGACCCGAGTTCGAAGCACAAGAACCGCCGAAATACTGTCCTTCCCCGTAGGATGAGCGGGCCGTCTCGGAGTATCGTCGGTAAACGTGACGGAGTCTCCTGTCACGCGTGAGCAAAATTTGCCTTGATTCGATCAGTTCGACGCATTCGGCTCATTTAGGCTAAACTCGCAGCAGCCGGAACCCTGTCCGGAGAGTTCCGGAGTCCACGGGGCCCCGCAAATTCCACATCCGATCCAGTCCCGGGACCAGTCGCTAACTCCGCTCTGCGAAATGCGGGGATTTATATCACCGGAGGAGCGGCGATGGATTCAGATTCACGATGCTGTCGTACTTTTATCTATCCGTATTCCATGCGACATCAACATTATAGTAAGCAAGGACTCGTGACAAGGAGAATGGGAGAATGGAGTGCCTTTACTCGGAGCGAAGCCTTGATGTAAGTTGAGCGGTAAGCGCGGACGACGAGCTCTCCAGTTCAAGGATCTGGAATGAGATGTCGTCCTACATGGTTTCCCAGCCAATACTGGACATCGTGCAGAGGAGCACTATTGAGACCGTAAGACAAGACAGGATCATATTCGATGAGCGAATGCGTCGGATACGATGACGCCCGGAAGGTCAATATTGTCACCTATATGCCGAAAATGCCTTGAAGCTCACCAACGGATCTGATGAAACGAAAATGAATTGCAGAGGCATGGTGTTTGCCTTTGGACACTTCGACAATGTTGTAATCGTACGGATAGCTGCATGAGTTGAAACATCAAGGCTGTTACACAGTCAGCAAACCACTTATTGTTGCCTTTGCAGTTTTCGAAGTCACCTCCATTGAATGACTACCTCCAGACCCCTCATCAAGAAGTGCATCGTCATTGGCATCCCCTTTGGCAAAGAACATTTTCTTTACTCTTGCAACTCTTTGCAAAGTGACTGCAATCTTTACCGTTCTCAACGAACACACCACTCGGGGATGTCGGACTCATCTGATGACGATGGCCTTTTTGACTCTGGCGACCAGTCTGGGACAGACTGTCAATCACATGCAGATACCAACGATGATTTCGACATGTCTACCCTGTTTGACTGGAACTTGAATAGCTATCGTCAATACGCCCTGTCATATCACGCTTGTCT